CTGTTTGTTTCGTTCAGGCATGTAGTTTAATTTCACAAAGCTAGTCAGAACATTCTGTTTTTGCTTCAAATTGGGTTATTATTAAATCAAATTATGTATATGAAATTATATAACTAAATTATATGAAATTATATAAATGATATGTATATGAATTATATAACTTAAATTAAATAACTGAAATTACAGATTTAGGTTAAATAAAGGTGTCAGCCTTTATTTTTCTTCTTTTTAGGAAACAAATCAAAGAAAAATAAACAAATATTCTACTGTTCCTAATATTCTGTATGTTGCTCAAAAACTAAATATATTGTGTTCAGTGGAAAAAAGCTTCTTTTTTTTTACCCAGTCATTTAAAAATAACATTTTAGAGCTGTAACGACAATACCGTGATACCGTGAAAACTGTAATTACAGATTTAAGTTACATAAAGATGTCAGTCTTTATTTTTCTTCTTTTTATGAAACAAATTAAAGAAAAAATAAACAAATTCTACTGTTCCTGATATTCTGTATGTTGCTCAAAAACAAAATATATTGTGTTCAGAGGAAAAAAGTAAAAAAAAAAATTTTTTTTTTACCCAGTCATTTAAAAATAAGCTTTAACGACAATACCGTGATACCGTGAAACCGTGATATTTTTGCTTAAGGTTATCATACCGTCAAAATCTCATACCGGCCCATGCCTAGACTGCATACTGAAATAATTTACAGTACATACTAAATATAGACACACTGCTGCACATTTTACAAGCACAGCTTCAAAGTAGCAGATCTCCAGTACTTTAATTGAACACGTACGACACAGTGGATTATTGGTTAGCGAGTGGGATATTTACCCCCTAGTTGAGACTGTGGTTGCACACTTCATTTCGCTCATCAGTTATGGACGCCCCATTACTAAAGGAAAATGCTGAGGCAATGAAGAGGAGGTGACTATAAATTGACTCACCCACCCGTTAGGATTCTAGTGATGTTCGACCTGAATGAAATACCAATCAGATTCAAGTCTGGAATGCAGCCCAACCAACCACTGCGGCATCTAAACCCTGATGAACATTTACCAACAAATCAATTAAAGCTGTGTTTATCACCTCTCTACGGGCTTGACTGTGGGTTTGAGGTGATTATGTTTCATCAGTTCTCATTTGTCTTACATCGTTTCATACTAAAACAATGAACAGATTCCCAGAATCCAGATATGATTCTCCTCAGCATTATTCAGACTAAATATGAGGGTACATTCTGTGTCTGTTTGTAGCGTAATGATGCAGCCACTTTCTGACCTCTTACATAGTCATGCACACATTTCACAATCCCTCATAGTTTTGTCTGATTGGTTACACTGATGTAATGTACTGCTTAGTGTACTGCAAAGTGTCTCATGACCTTAAATGTCAGCTCTGCAGTAAGCACTAAAATACCAATATTATTAAACACAAATGTACATGTGTAGACACAATTCAGTAAACAGACATCCTTATTCATTCCTCATGCATTACACGTAGTGTGATAAATGGGTAATATGGATTTGGCTAGTTCATCTGAACTCAAATGATAGTTCAAATGGGTCATATCAATCACATTGACATAGAGAGCATTTCAGGTGAGCCAGGCCCAAAGCGTGCCTGAAATACTCTTTCAGCAGCCCCACATCTGAGCCAAAACAGCACAGACCCCTGATAAGAATCTCTGCAGCTAACATGCTCCACTGCCTCCATCCAAAACAAATAGATCACTGTCAGTGCTTGTAATTAGGGCTACCTTGAGTCATCCATAATCAAATCTGAAGAAATAAACAGTTTTTGTTGTTGAATTAACCATTGTCTGGAGTTTAGACAGTTATTATGAGTGAAAATCTCTGTGTTTGAGTTTATGGCATTATAGGTTTTGCAAGTGATTTTATAGGCAGTTGAAGGAATAGTTCACCCAAAAATGAAAATGTTGTGATCATTTACTCACCCTCATGTCGTTCCAAACCTGTATAGGTTTCTTTCTTATGTTGAACACAAAAGAAGGTATTTTGAAGAACCAAACAGTTGGTGTCCCCATTGACTTTCATAGTAGGGAAAGAAATACTATAGCGACCATCAACTGTTTGATTACCAGCAGTCTTCAAAATATCTTCTTTTATGTTCAACATAAGAAAGAAACTCATACAGGTTTGGAACAACGTGAGAGTGAGTAAATGATGACAACGTTTTCATTTTTGGGTAAACGATCCCTTTAAGGTCCAAAATAAGGTCCGCATCTGTCCTTTGCAAGTGAATGAAGTGAAACTTATTTTGCATTATTTTTTACAAATATTATAATTTAATATTATTATTAAATATACATAAAATATATCTCTCTAACAATATGATTATTTAGCTGTGATTTTTTACTTATTTTCACTTTTCTGGCTCTATGCAGTGAGTATTACACATTTGTGATGCCACATGGCTAAAAAAAATTCTTCCATGTGGAAATGAACCTTTAGATATGCAATATAAACCTCTGATGATACATTCTTAAATTTGTGAGTCACTGACAGATGTTGTATTTAGTACATTTAGTGGCAACTGTTTAGGACTGTTCAGACCTTGTCGGCAGTGTTGTGATTGGTGACTGCTGTCCTTTGGGCATTTTTAGCTGAAGAGGCAGAATATGGGATGAAGGTGTGAGAGGGCATAGTGGGGAAAGTTGATGTGTGTGTGTGTGTGTGTGTGTGTGTGTGTGTGTGTGTGTGTGTGTGTTTACGCAGCTAGAGAGAGAAACAAGCCCAGGACAGCTGTCCTAACAAGCACTGAGACAGGCCTATCATTAGTAATGGGTGCGACCAGATTCCAGCAGGCTTAAAAATCTGCCTCTCCAACAAACGCTTCACCCTTCTTCTCCTCTTACTATCGCCATCCATAGAATCACTCCTCTCTCTTTCCTCGTCTATCTATCCTGCTCCAATCACATTGTGTGTGTGTGTGTGTGTTAATGCACCTACAGAGAGAAAAACCCCTGCAGAGCTGGTTTGCAGTTAGCAGAGAGGAATCACTGAGGCATTACTATCATTTCTACGCTCGTTAGAGCTGTCATTTTAAATATGAATAAACTGAGTGACACAACACATAGAGGGAAAAGCCACAGATGTTTAGCATTTTACAACATCACCCTGAATTTTAAATTGCTTACGTTCCACTCAATCTGTCAACATGAGCACTCGTTTACACTCACCTTCTTCTCAGCACCCTCGTGCCGAATGTGTGTGTGGCCATGTTGCTGGATGTCCGAGTGTCTTCCTCCTGAGCCATGCTGCTCCAGCAAGTCTGGTGGTGGGGACACACTGCGGCCCTGAGGGTCCACCCATGTGTACACATGATTGGTCACGTAACCACCTGGGATCCGTCCCATAGAACAGACCGACATGGAGAGCTTCTTAGAGCCTTTCAATACCTGTGAAGGGAAAACAGATGGATGAGGACAAGAAAGGAGGGAACAAGAATGTAGAATGAAGAGGAAATAAATAAATAAATAATTGTCCCTCTCTAAAAGTTATTTCTGTTTCAACATTAGAGATTTAATAACACCTCAAAATAAAAACCTCAAAATATAAAAATAAAAGCTCATTTAAAATATTAATAAATACTAATAGCATATAAATAATACCAAAGTAACACTGGCTAATACTTGATTCAAATCTATAAGATAGGATAATAAATCATTTTAATTATAATAAAATAACACAATTATAAATATACAAATAAAAAATATATATAAATCATTTATAGATTGATTTTATTGAAAAGGGTAAACACTTCACCAAAATTCAGTTATAATGTCTAATGAAAATTCAAAGACCCATAAAATGTTTACGTGAGCAGAAATTACACACTATAGCTTTAATACGAAAGGTGGGTTGTATATCTCAGCTGTAATTTTCTCCTCCTCAAGACTGCACAGTGATTTGACCTACTGTAGAAGTGTTTCTGCGTTCATGGCCTGCAAGAGCCAAACAAGTCCAATAAAAGATCTTACGGACTCTAGTGCAGGTCTCTTGTGAATTGCCTCAAGTCATGTAAATCAGTCCCACCACCTCCCTGTACTGCTCTCATCTCTAGAAATGTCCACAGACATCCATCTCTGACATTTAATATGCTTTATAGGGACAGAGCTGGACGTCTCAGTGGGGTTGGGAGTTGTTTTTTCAGTGCGACTGCAGATACAGACACCACCTCCCTGCACTGAGCAGAAGGTTCAGACAGACACCAGATTTTGAAGTCCCTTGGAGAGATTGGATCAAATCACTTAGAAGTATTTCCAACAGTATTTGCAACTCTGTGTTTGGGCTTCCTCAAAGCAGACAAGAGGAGGACGGGAAGAAAAAGAATAAAGAGCAAGATGGGTATAGAAAGACAGGGTTGCCTGAGTCAGTGCTACAGAGAGAATATGAACAGTAGCCACTGATTCTCATTGGAGAAACTCGCTGACACTAACTTCAAATGATCAAGACAAAGAGGAAGCACTACAAAGATTATGAGTAAGAACGATTAGAGACATATATGAAACATGTTGATCTTCAGAAAGCTTCTCAAAAGCATTCACTGGCAAAAATGTATGAGCAGACAGAGCCACGCAAGTGAATGAAATCCCTCTGGCTCGCTCACAGAGAAGCACCCATGTTGGTCATTTACATGGATCTACATAGATTAACATAAATGTTTAATTGGAGCAGAACAACACATTCAGTGTTGCTTTTTCTGGTGCTGCTGTTGCTGCATGAATTATGAACAATGGCATGTGTGTCCTGGTTTAAAACTGCACTCACAAACACTTTTGAGCAAAGGTAGGCAGGGGGCTAAAAATACGAGCACCAAACCTGTGAAACCGCGTGGAGCATTTCATCTGCAGCCTCTGATTGGAGCACTTGACCAAATGTGGTCAGCTACATAACAACACCTCAGTGTGCAAAAACAACAGCATGGACAGCTAGCAGAGCTACTGAGCAGATCTCTTACATAACAGACAGTATGTGGGGAGTTTATAGCCATTGAGTAAGAGAGACGGAATAGGAGAGAGACTCAGTGCTGTGTGGATGTACAGCGGCTGAGTCACGTTATTCTATCTTGAGAAAGAGTAAGAGGGTTCAAAATGTATTTTCAAAAATAACAAGCTTTCCAGATGTCAAAGAGATTCTTAATTTCATCAAACCTCAAACATCGAACTAGTAAACCTTACTAGAGACATTATAAGGAGAAGAGACTTACTACTCGAATATATTTGAAATAGAAAATAAAGGAGTGCTAAATATGGCAGCTGTAGTAGTCCGACTTACAGCTAAATAAGAAAAGCAATGCTCAATATGGTGACTGTAGGAATGGATGTACTGTCTAACAGCTAAAAGAAGTTTGGTAAAAGTTTGTTTATTCTATCATATGAATGAGCATTAGCTGAATCAAGCTGAAAATACTGCTAAAGCAGCACAACAATATACAATATCAAATTTTGTCTAAATTTTATTACCAATTTATGGAAGTGGAACATGATCTTGACAACCAATTTTGGATATTTCAGAGTTTCCCCATTCAAGTAGATTAGAGTGTTTGCATGACTAGATATAGTTACCAAGATGGCCATGCAGTGGACATTTAAAAAAACTTTTTACATGAAAGTATGCTGGAAAAGAAAAAGATTTCCAGAACAATATTAAGCTGAAGGATCACGTGACACTGAAGACTGGAGAAATGGCTGCTGAAAATTCAGCTTTGCATCACAGGAATAAATGACGTTTTAAATATATTTTAAATGAGAAAAAAGTTATTTTAAATTGTAATAATATTTCAAAATATTTCTGTTTTTGCTGTATTTTTTGATCAAATAAATGCAGCCTAGCAAAAAATAAATATTTCATGCTAAGTCTACTACAAATACATTTACATATTTATGTACTTAATAAAATACCCTGCAATTGTACTTTTAGTAAACTAAACTGGTATACTTAAATTTTGCTAAATTGAAAACTTATTGTGCAGAAGTAGTGCTGAAGTCCAACTAAAGATATACTGAAGTATATTTGATTGCGCTAAAGTGGAACTACTTCAAGTATACTTTTGGTACATTTAAAATATTTAGCATTTAAAGACCAATTTTATTCGAAAACCATACAATCCTCATCAATAGTGACATTAAAACACATTTTAGGCTTAATGTTAAGAAACGTGCATTGTGCACAGATAGTACTCCAAATAAAGTTTAAAGGGGTCATATGATGCGATTTCAAGTTTTCCTTTCTCTTTGGAGTGTTACAAGCTGATTGTGCATAGATAAGATCCCTGAAGTTGCAAAGACTAAAGTCTCAAACTATATCAGCAACATGTCAGTAATTGATTTGAACTAGGCCTATACGTAGTATGAAATAAATGTCTTTTAAATATATTACATTTTACTAGGGGAGCATAAGAGATTTCTTTTAAACACACACATACACACCCACAAAAACACCATTCACCATTCAAGTAGGTAGGAACTGCTTGAAAATACCTGGAGGCATTACCAAAATGGCCACATCCATGATTTGTCTTAAAGGGACGCATTCACAGCCTCCCAGAGACAAAACACCTCTTTAAACTAATTCTTCAAACTTCAGCAAGAAAGTAACACTCAAAAAACAAAAAAGAGGGAGACATAGGCAGATAGGAGAGAGAGTGAGAGTGAAAATGAGGGCGTCTGACAGCTTTAGTGAATAAACCATAAGCCAGTGTCTCTTCATAAACCATAAGCCAGTGTCTCTTCATCACAGAAGCAAAGGACACACCTGACATTTCTGTGCTGACCCTCAGCAGACGTAGCCCTCTTCCGATAAGAACGTGTAACAATCCTATTCCCCGCTCCTACCCGACCAGACGCCAACTGAGACCTGTGCTGACCTGGATATAATGAGTGGTGACAGAGTCGACGATGACTAAACAATGGCCTCACAGCCTTTAACACGGAAGGGTCTGCTTACTCATTCTAAGCAATGCAAATCTGCCGCCACAGACGCAAACACTGAAAGCTGACAGTAAATGGATTTTAAAATTAAAATGGTGGAAAGGTTACAACCAAAATGGTCAAGGTTTGACTAGTTAGCATAGAATGTTTGCCCCTGCAGGCAGATTCTGTAACTGCACCATTATTGAGCTAAAAGGTATCTTTTTTTAATTGACGTCCATTTACAATTTACTGTTTATTCTGATGAAACAAAATTCGCAATCGTAAGTATATAAATACACACAAATTGCATTGATGTTTTTTTCAGTCTGCCAAATTGTATTCACTGTTCAGCACAGTCACTATTGAAGGGTTTGAAGGGACTACGCATGTCTTGTGCCCCCATCAGCCAATCAATATTGTAGTGATGTCATTTTTACCACTAGCTTCAGAGTTATTATGCTGCCTTCAAGTACAGCAGGGAAACTTGTCATAATAAAGCCCAAATCTTAGGTGCATGTCACACATTCAATTTGAAAAGATAACACGAAAGTAGCCTAAACAAAACAAGCGAATACTGTATATTGTGAACATTAAACCCAAAAATGACTACATCCGAATTCAAAATGATTCATTTCTATCCGTTATGTACACATGGTATCAAACGTGTTTGTGAAACATGAAGCAAACCATGAAAGGCGAGTATCTAACTTTACATCAGGGGTGTATTCCAGAAAGCAAGGTTAATTTACCATCTGCTAAACCCTGAACTCTCGGTGGATTAACCCAAACCTTGCTTACTTGAGTTGTGTTGGTTCCAAAAACGCGTCCGGGAGTAAGTTCATTCAACCCAGAGTAAGTTCCTGGTTAACACGCAAGACATTCTCAACAGAGCAATGAATCGATGAGTCACTATGGAAACGAACGCTAAGAAAAAGCGTGCCATACTACTTCTTTCTTCTTCTTCTGTTCAAAGGCCGTTTGCATACTTGGTTCATATCGCCACCTAACGTTCCTCCTTGTTCACGGATTGCTGAGGTGTGTGCTCCTCCTGCCTATGTTCCAGCTCCTGTAAAGCCAAAGACTCGGATTCCCCCACTCATCATATTTACCACTCCAAATGTTGTGTAAAAGATGGCAGATTTCAAGTCAAGTACTTCCAATGGGTGTTCCTAAAAAAAGACTATAGAGCTACATAATTAATACAAAACGTGGATAAAATAGTTCAGAACATTTTTATCATTGTAAGAATGTAATAAATGTTCATATTTAAATCTCTTACTATTGATCACAGACTATGTGATATCTGTGTGATAAGAGACACATGAGGTGTCTTTGGGGTTTTTCTCTCATGAGAAAAAAAAAAAAAAGGGGAAAATAATTGAAATGTTGAAGAGATCTCATTTGTGATATTACATTTTCAAAAAATGATGATAACCCGGAGATTTGACTACAGATGTGGCCCGTCCTCTGGGCTTTATCTGAGC